TCATCTTCTTCTACCCCCCCTTTGTTTCCACCTGATGAGGGTCGCTTGTGTTGCGATCGAAACGTCGTAGTCTTTTTTGTTTGTTTTTTAATTAGTTTTTTTAAAAACCTATCTACTGTGACTTTACCGAAAGACCCAAAGAATATGAATTCCTGCAGTCACCAAAGCTTCAAGTCAAGATTTAGAGGAGCGAGAGAGAGGTAGGCGGTGGGTGGTGGGCATGCCCACGCGTGCCCCGGCGCGTCAGGGGCGAGGTTCGCCGCATCGGTGTCCGGAGCATGGCTTAGGCCACACAGATTGGAATAAGGGGGGGGAGGGGGGTACACGGGTGGTGGTGGTGGGGGTGGCACGTAGGGAGAGGGTGCGGGTGGGGGCCACAAAAAATGGGGGGGGGGCGGGGTTGGCTGGAGTTGTGGGGCCACGTCGAATGTGGGGGGCTGCGGGATTCGGGGGGCGCCTGGGGGTTGGCACGGATCGTGGGGAAAGTGGCGGGAGGGGGGGCAGGAAGATGCAGATATTGTGGTCGGGGGGGAGCTCTTAGGGACGGGCAATTATAATGGTAATAATAAGGCAGGTCAAGTTGTGTAGTTTTAATGTTTCTTTAATTCATATTGGACCAGCAATAGCCCAAGCACAAACTCAAAGGTAATCAAGCAGGTAGGGTGTTGACTGTTATGTCAGCCGACTTTCTGCGCTGTATCGCATTATATTTCTAAGTTTACTAGGTTTGTTTCTCTTTCATTTGTACCTGATGATGATTGCTTGCTTTGCAATCGAAACGTCGTATGATATGTAATTTATTTTCTATTTCTACGTGACTTTACCGAAAGAACCAAAGAATAAACTCAAAATAGTTAAAGAGCCACAGCGGTGGAGTCCGTCCCAAGCGTAATGGTCGAGTTAGTGTGGTCCCCAGCGGATAGGAAAATCCCCGGTCAGCCGATAAGATCAACAACAACAACAACAACGAGAAGCCAATTGACATTTAATCTACAATGAAAGTCCGGCTCCTGTCCGGTGTGGAACTCAAAACTCGAAGTCATTGACATCCGTTCACCCAACTTTGGGGGACTCGGATCTACCAGGCTGGCCGTTCCATCCCCTCCGCACTTTGTTGAACTCGCCACACCGCACAGGTCAAAGTAGTTCTCATTCCGCGCGTTCTGCATCGTGCACAATGCTCCGCCTTGGAATTCACTCCTCCGATAGTCAATTTTCCCACACGCTCATAAACCCTTGCGCAATGCAAGTAACGTGTAAACTCTTTATTCCTTACAGCTATGAGAGCGCCGCGTGTTTCAGGTCGCTTGATGTTTTGGACCTTCGGGTCTGTGCTCATAGCACTGGACGTGAACGGGGTGCAGTGTGGGATTGAGACTGTCGATAAATATTGGATTCCGACGATTTGACAGCAGACGCTCATGGAGACACATAAGACCCTCACAGAGACATGCAGACACTCGCAGAGACGCTCGAGGGAGACGTATGGAGACTCAGAAACATGTCGACGCAGCAACGTTCAGGCACTCGTACACATTCCGAGACACATGGAGAGACTCGGAGACACGTGGACACTCGGAGACGCATCGAAAACACACAGACACTCACGTTGGACCAATCCCCCCCCACCCCTCCACCACCCCCAATTACAAAACCATTTCACTGCAGAGAGTTCAATTCACGTGCCACGCCAGGGCCAGGACCTAATTTGGAGGAGCCCTTGACAGCCGCACGTACAACCGCGGCCTTTAAATGAGAATAAAGCGAGCGGCTCCTGCGTCAGAGCGAGCGAGCATGGGGTTGGGTGGGGGGGGTCAAGGTCTCACTGGGGTTGTGGGAGGAGGAAGAGAGAGAGGAGTGTGGGGGGGGGGTCTTGGGGGGGGTCCCCCCTTCTGACCTTGTACACGGGGGGCAAGTCTGGAAATCGTTAAAAAAAACCTGGGACCCCTTCAAATTACGAGCCTCTCCAATTTTTGTATTCGTGCCCCAATGTGTGGCGGAGGGCGGTGGGAAATGAGGGATGACTCAGGGAGGAGAGTTCCCTGTACAAAGGGAGGCCTGGGACTGTGCGCAGTGTGTGCGCGCAAAGAAAAGCGATGTAATACAATTATACAATGCAGGCTTCGTTTTTATTCAATATTTCTTTTTGCAACCCTTTGTCAGTCCAATGCTGGATGAAGGCCTCCCCCACGCGGGTGCCGACCCTGGTGTTATTTAACGCAGTGCCCCTAAGCACCGGTGCACACGTGTCCTCTCTAATAAGACTTCTAATTGCAAGAGAGCGTAGGCCACACACTCCTTGATGGTACGTCTTGGCCGAACATCCCGATTATTATTAGTATTTCTTACTTCAGGAAGCCTTTCAGGAGTTGGCAGGAGGAACATAAGTTGAGCAATAGGATGGCAGAAGACCTGGGTAGGGAGTTACATGAGACAGATGAGGCCACCACAGCTGTAGTGTGATGAGATCAATCGAGACGACATTGTCGAGGGAGGCAGCCAAAGGCAGAAGGAGGAGCCAAAGGACTTAGCAATGTTTGCAATAATACTGTACTTCTTTTTTTTCCACTGTAAAATCGAACCAAGCCAGCATTGGGCCATCTCAGTACGGGGTTTTTTTTCCACTGGGCTCTTTGCTGAGCCTAGCCGGAATAAAACAGTGATACGCTGGCCTCAACGAGGGATCTGAATCTGGCTCGGGGCCAAACAGGCCAACGTCGGGACTGATGACGTGTTGATTGTGTGTGTGATGTCAGCATTTAACATCGTGAGGAAGAATAAGAACGTGGCATCACTACATCACATCAGCTCTACTTCTGCAGTGGAAAACAAAACTACCTGAGTAGCACAACTGAGGAGACGCCACGTTGGTTCTTTTTTTCCCCACTATAGAAGCCGAGCCGAGCCACTGCTGTCAACACGCAATGAAAGAGTGGCATTTAGATGAATTGTAAATGCTGTGAGTTTGAAGTAGTAACTAATTGGCATGCTTTGTGTACGTGACAAACCTTACTAATTGAGTGGTGGTGGGTTTAATGACACATTTATATTTACTCGATCTAACCCCCCCCCCCCCAAAAAAGACGTTTATTATGCATGTAGATGAAGTTTCGTGGCTGATACAACAGAAAAGCGAAAATTATTATCCTCGCCCCCTGGCCCAGCTTGGCCCTGAAACAGATTCCGATTTATTTTGATTCCAGGCCAGAGATCCACGGCTTTGGTTCCGGCTCGGCAAATAGCAAGTGGAACTATCACCCCATACCGTGAAAGGCCCTGTGCCGCTGGCACAGCAAGGATGTGGCAAGTGGAAATAAAACTAAATTGCTCTGATCAGTCGGAGGTATTAATTCCAGACATTAGTGGGCTGCGTGAACGAAAGAAAAAAACACCGAGTGGAATTTTCCCTTTCATTTGCCATTTAAAGCCAGCGGAGCAAGGCAGAGAGGAAAGAGAGAGAAAAATATATCGCTTACTGGATGTGTTGTTGTACAACCTACAGGATAAAGGGCAGTGGAGGATAATGAAAATGCGGCTGTGAAAATAATGTCCGAGTGTAATCGAGAGGCGTGTGAAGAAGGTTCTTCGTGTACAGACAGCCGCCACGTGGCGTGTTGTTTGCGATGCACAGCTGATAGTTGGTGTACAGTCACGCTTGCTACTGGACGGCTGCCGCGATCAGGGGAGGGAGAGTGGGGTTTATTGTCCCCATGTCGTATGCATGCCACATGTGGTATCCACAAAGCCCTTTCTCAATCCACTGCTAGATGGCGGTGCGGGAGGCGGGGTCTGCCCGCGCCGTGCGGGTCACTGTTGGTAGTGGTGGCGGGGGGTTAGAGTTACTTTGGTCATACTTCACCAATTTTGTCAATGCTGATGCACCATGTAATTATCGTGCACAATTAATAATGTCACGGTATAAATAAAGAGAAGGGGTGGGTGTGTTAATAGGGGTTGGTGGGGAGCGCGGGTGTGGAAACAGCATCAGCAGCAGACGCGCAAGTAATAGTAATAGTTATATATAAAACAAAAATAATTTAATAAAATGCGATTTTAAAGCACCCTCCACGTTCTTCAAACTCAGCCCCGGGCGACCCTGGTCAGGGCAAAGGTGTTTGGTGGAGCCGTGACGTCACGCGACCAGCTGTTCGCGTGACGTCAGAGGGCGGCTGGTGATGGACGCGCGTGCGCGTGTTTTTTTTAAATACATTTTAATATTTTTTTATTTCTGTATATTTTTTAAACCTTTATTTTTTGCCGCGTTAGCGTTTTACATTTGCGTTTTTCGTTTCGTTTTTTCATTCGCCTAAGATTTCCCTGCGGTGTTTACGAGTTGGTTTTGTTGTTATTTTTTTCCACAACCCAAGCTGAAATTAATGAATGAAATGACCGCGCCTACCCCTCCATAGCCCCACCCTCCCCTCCCCTCATAACAACTCCTCCCACTGCCAACGCTGGCCAATGGGAGACACCGACGCTCGCCGCCTGCGGCCAATGGGCGTTGACCCGCGTGCTATTTTTAGCTGTTGCCGGGTGACGACGACGACCGGCAGCGCCGCGGCGGGGATATCTCGCCGACTTGTAACTTTCCGCTCCGCAAAAAAAAAACAACCGTCACCTTAACAAAAAAAATATAAAACCAACGGATTCAGTTTGTCAGCTTCAAATTGTCATGAAGCAAATATGATTTGGAAAAAAGAAGAGGTCTCGCAAAAAATACGCGGAAAATCCTATGCCTTAAAAGCATCGCGGGGATTACTTTTTTTTCCTCCTCTCTTAACGCTGCTTTGGAAGCTCGGCTCCTCCCCTCCCCCGCGGGCTCCCCTCGCACCCGCGTCAGCGGTCCCGCCCCCCTCGCCGTCGTCAGCTTCGGGCTGTATAATGGTAAAAAAAGTAGTGCCGGAGTTTTGGTGGGTGGGTGGGATGCGGCGGCGGCGGGGAAAGTCGAGTGCGTGGGGAATGTGGCGCGGAGGAATCCGGCACCGCCCCCGTCGCGGTATAAAAGCGCGGTGGCGCGCGCCGCCTCGCGCACTCCTGCTCCCCCCCTTCCCGCGTGGCGCGCGCGGGGATGAGACGCGGCGCGCGACGGTTGCCTTGACCCTTCCCCCCCTGCGTGCGGCACGGCCGAGCGAGCAAGCGCCTGAGGTAAAAACCCAGGCACCCACCGCCAACAACACCAACAACAACAACCAAACCACCACGGAGACATTGACGGATAGTCTTATTAACGCCCGCTTCGGCGGAGACTTGCTTTTGTTTTTCGTTTTAAAAACAACGCAAAATGCCCGCTGACTTAAAAGATTAAATGCGACCGATTTAATAACCGAGTGGACTGGGGCTTTTAAAGCGGGGGGTGATGGTGATGGTGGTGGGGGACTGGCACAACGCCACCTCATCGACCGGGTCGACTTTGAACACTGACCTACTTGCCTGACTTGACGGCGGCGGACTGGCTTGGGGATATACGTTGGCGACTGCCTCGGGACTGACTCGACCGGCTCGGTGCGACCAAGTTGTTGTGGACTCGGCTGGGCGAATGCGATCGCTGTTGTATTGCGAGGAGGAGGAGGTGGAGGGAAAACGCCATCTTCTCGTAAAGAACAACCCGGCAGCCTTCCCCCCTCCGCTACTCACCCAACACCTCCTCCTCTCCTCCTCTCCTCTCTCCTCCCCCCACCTCCGCAAACGTCGTGAGGAGAATAAATGAGAGCGAGCGGCGAGAGTCGTGAGTTAAATACGATTTGTACGGGTTCCGAGTAGCCCAATAGGTTACGAGCGATAAAATGCGTTGGATTGTACGATTATTTTTTTTGTTATTTTATTCCGGGCTACGCTTGGAATAATCTCTGGGCGTCTGTTGTGGAATCGGGTCAAGTTCACCTTTTGACTGCGTGGCGTTTTCCGAGGGTGGATTTTGTTTCGCCCTCTTCGCACGGTGATTGCGAGTGGCGCCCTCCACAACCGCCACCACCACAGGTTGTTTATTACCTCCCGGGGGTTTAATCGTGGTAAAACTCGGCGAGGGTTAAACAAACAAACCAAAAATGTGGTTGTTTTGCGGTGTTGGTGATGTGGCAGTAATTGTGCCGCGTCACTGGGTGTAGAGATGATGGAGAATGCGAGGAGTGGGGGGGGAGGAGGAGGAGGCGGCAGACGCCGCCCCGGGTAAAATTGCCCTTTGCGAGGGACGCTGCGGTGTCTCTAATACAACGCGGATTTTTTTTATTTAAAAAAAATATATATAATAATCGCATTTGTTAACGCTCTAAAAAATAAAAAAATAAATCCCCCCCCCCCCCCCCCGATACTCGTCTTAAACGCGGCGACGTAAAAAGTACCCGACGATGCTGCTTTTTTTTGGTCGTTGCCTTATTTGCTCTCCTTCAAAACGAATACCATGAAAAGTGAAAATGACCTTTTTGTTTTAGAGGAAGAGGGGGAGAGGAGGAGGAGGGGGGGGGGTCGCGTCTTGCGTAATAGAGGACGTGGAGGTCACGGCCGCTGCGTGCGTGCACTCCCACCACCACCACCACGGCTTTCGCTCGCCCATTGGTTCTCTCTCGACCTTGTTTTGTCACCGTGTGGGTTTTTGTGCGTAAGCCCCCTGGCCTTAGTTTTTTTTACGTTAAAGGTTATAATAGTGCCGTCGCCACCCTTCCTCCACGCCGTGGTCCGTGTGAAGGACGAGCAACGAACGCGGCGGCATCCAACCACCGTCGTCACTAGGGGTCGGTCATCGATGTGTGTGTGCGTGTGTGTGTGCCGATGATGCCCTCTCCTCGGCCTCCACATTAACACGGGGATGGCTGTACGCCTAATTAAGCCAGCGCCGTGCGCATTCCGTCAAGTGCGTAAGTGCGGGTGGGGTTTTTTTTTGGTCGTCGTTGTTGGGAATTTAAACTTTAATTGAGGGACAATTTAACCTACGCCATTACCTCCACATTAACTCGAAATGGCGGCGTTTAAACCGCCCCCCCCCCCTCCCACAGCTGTTGTGAAAAACGCGGATTCGGCGTCATTCCTGCTGATGCCTTATAATTATTTTGCCTCGCTTATCAATCCCCCTGCTCCCCACCCCCCCTCATTATTGTGTTTGTGTGTTTTTTTAAATGGTATTGGTGGGGTGAGCGAGTTGGGTGGAGGTGTGTGACGGTGGGTGGTGGTGATGAGTGAGGTTTTTTTTGCGCCACCTGCACGGTACAATGGTGCGATTGTAAACCCCCTCCCCACGAAAGAGGCTCACCGGGAGGCCTCATGACCGCGCTCAGTTGGCCGCATTATTACTGCGCGCCGCCCCCGTATAAAGCAAACCCGAGTCCACCACGGCCCGTCAGCTGGTTTGTGGGGGGGGGGGGCGGGCATCACACTTCGAAAAGAATGCAGCGTCTAAGCGGGATTTTGTTGAATGTTTTAGAATGCACGCGTGTTGCACAGTTTTTTGTATGTGTGCACCGCTGACGTGCGCTATTTTTTCTGTGCCCCCACCTCCCATGTGTCTGTGTTATGTGTACGCGCAGGGCCAAGTACTTAAGAAAGGCACAGCCTGCTATTTTTTATAGAAACGATTCCACTGCCGGCGAGAAACGGATAAAAAGAAAAAAAGCAATATAAATATTAACTATTTCTACACAAGCCTGAAAACGCTCTAACAAAAAGCCTCCGATTAACCAAAAAAAAAATTATCACGTTATACTGATAAGCAAATAAGCATTTGAAACGACCAGTAAAGCAAAAAAAAGGACAAAAAAAACATTAAGCCATGCAGTTGGAGATCCAAGTGGCACTCAATTTCATCATCTCGTACCTGTACAACAAGCTACCACGACGGCGAGTGAACATCTTCGGGGAGGAGCTGGAGAGGCTGCTACGGGAGAAGTACCGCGGCCACTGGTACCCAGAGAAGCCGTACAAGGGCTCGGGCTACCGCTGCGTGCACGTGGGCGAGGGCGCCGTGGATCCCATCATCGAGCGGGCGGCCCGCGAGAGCGGCCTGGCACTCGCCGACGTGCGTACCAACCTGCCCGGCGAGCTGAGCGTGTGGATCGACCCGGCCGAGGTGTCCTACCAGATCGGCGAGAAAGGCCCAGTCAAGGTAATTCCCCCTCGAGCTCTCTCTCTACCTTGCTGCTCCCCCCCCCCCCCCCCCCCCCTGGGGAGCACTTGAGGCCCACGCAGCCATTTTATGTACCCCCCCCCCCCTCCACTTATCCTGTCCCCATCTCTTGCCATTAACCCGACTGACTTAATGCAAGTGCTGAGGTACAATAACATTACTAAAGGAATAAAAAAAGACCGCTTAATGGACTTCGAGTTGGTAACCACGTTTAAGGCATTTAATTAGAAAGAAAAAAACGCATTACTTTCCACGTGAATTATTAATGCATCCTCTTAAGAGAAAATGTAAAGTAGGCTTATGATTTAGGCAAAGGCCCTTCAAAGTCAAATGAAACCCTGAAAGACCTTGGCCCATTGTCACGGTAAAGAGAGGCTATTGCCCACAGTGTTTGGCTGTATATATGTCACGAGGTGGTGTAAGTGATGGGAGGTATCGGGTTTTTTTATTTGCATAATATTTGAACATTTTCCAAATACGCACGTGTACACATATATTGACACAGCCGTCGTAACTCTTGGGTAGTATGCAGTCGTAGGATGGAAATCCTGAATGTCCCCCGGTGCGCGAGAGGCAATGCTAAAATTGAACACGTTGCAAGTCTGTGCTCGCGAGCAGTCAACAACACTTGTACTCAACCAAAATGCAAGCTGCGAGAAAGTGCAAACGCAGGGAATACGTTAAACGCATTAGGGTTGGGGTTTGCACAAACAAACCCACGTCGGCCGAGCGTGTACCGGCACGTAAAATGGCAGCCGTAGGTTGTTTTCAGACCCGACTTGTGTGTGTGTGTGCGTGATTTGCGGCAGAAAAACGTGGGCAGGGCTGGCTGGCAAGGGGTGGTGGGGGGGGAGCTTCTGTGTATTGATTACAGTGGAAATTTCCATATGGTGGCCAAGCACGGCACTACTCTGACAAATTCACTCGGTTGATGGCGCTTCTGCCGCTGTTGCACATATAAGGCCACGTACTAAAGTGGAAAGGGACACTTGAAATGAATAGTAAATTTCGAGAAGTGCCTGCGCACAGAGCGTGCGTTTAAATTTGAGCTTGAGACGCACGAGTGTGCCAACAGTATTGCAATCTGTTTTTAGTAATGGGCATTGCTAAAATAAACCTGCTGGTGGTTTTCCTATTTCCTGTGCTGGTGGTGTGTGACAGGCACCTGTTTGTCATTGCGTTACCAGCAGTTTAGATCTTCATACCATGCACCATTTAACCAACTGCAAATAGATGTGGTCGTGTTCAGTACAGCGATGCACTTTCACCTGCCACACGCAGTGACTAATAATACCGTTTTCCCATCTTCCACCATCAGGTTCTCTACGTGGAGGAGGGAGGGGAGACATCAGGTGACCTGGACAAGGAGGTCATCAAGAGCAGCTTTAACCCAGAGGCCCAGGTCTTCCTGCCCGTGGGGAACACCGCCAATAATGGCAGCGGAGGACCCCCAGGGGATGCGGGGGGCACAGGGGCCCCCGGCGTGGGAGGAGGGTCCTCCCACTCGGCGTCGCCGTCCCCGCCGTCCGTGAGCCCCACGTTCTTGCCACGCGCCAGCACGCAGCCGCTCACCTTCACCACGGCCGCCTTTGCCGCCACCAAGTTCGGCTCCACCAAGATGAAGTCAAGCGGACGGCGTGGCGGTTCGCCGGCCCAGGGCCCACCAGGGATGGGCAGGCCCCACCGCCCCATCGGCACCCCTGCGCTCTACGGAGGCCAGCCCAAATCGCCCAACGGCACCAGCGGGCCCTACTCGCCGCCGGCTGCCAGTGGCACGAAGGATGTGCTCTTCCCCGGCCTGCAGGGCTTGGCTCCATTATTGGGCTGCGAGGCACCGTTTTCGCCTAGCCCCGCCACTTTCGGCACTGCATTCGACCTCTTCCCAGCGTTCGGGCCGCTGGCTGATAAGCCGTCCTTTCTGGAGGGAATCGGCCTTAACCTAGGCCCCCTGCCCTACTCTGCCCAGCCCCTGCAGCCTGTCATAATGGCAAGCTAGGCTGCCCAAGATCCTCTTAATGTACACACCCACACATGCGCAGGGGGTTAGGGGGAGCTTAAAGAGGCGCACAAACGTTACTGCCATGTGTTTGCGCTGAGATGTAAAAAAAAAAATTTGGGCCCACACATTTGGGCTCGGCTTTGCTCTTTGCGTGCAAGCAACTGGCTTAAGTCCACGGGACAGAAGTCGGGCCAAAAGTTAAGCCCATATATCAACTGTGTGACGCCACATTGGCACACTTGTTTGGATGTCAAAAAATACATATGCTGCTCTTCTGTAATTAAAAAAATATATTTTTTCTTTTTTTCTTTTGGTTTAACTTTTGGCCAAACTCGTACGACAGGGAGCAGCTGAGCCGGTCGGTCGCGTTCCCCACCCACCTCAGGAGGAGTAGACGATGTGTGTGCCTCGATGCCTGCAGCTGGTGTAGAGCAAGGCCGGGCACGTGAATGTATCTCGTGTTGAGCCCTCCGTGGCTGTTTGCCACCAGGAAAGCCATGTGTGTGCCACCTTTCCTGCAAGGGGGATGGGTGATGGGAGAGTTGTGGGGGGGTGGTGACTGACCTGGCAAGGTGATCCAGTAGAGTATATATGTAGTGACTGAATGTATATGGAAAAGGAATCGGCACTAATGCAAAGAAAGACGAGTTTGTGGGTCTATTTAAGAAGTTAAAACATTAAAAAGAAAAGAAAAAAACTAAAAAAAATTGCACAGTTAATTTATTACCCTGTTTCTACGACACGAGAGAACATATTGTTTCTAAGTGGCATTATTGTTTATATCTTTTCTACCTAAGCGATGCTCAGATTGTCACAGCTTTAGTTTTTTATGAGTGTAAATCCTGCGCAGGGAGGCACCGGGTCTCCAGCACCATGAAGCCGATGGTGATTCTGTATCAGAGGAGAAAAGATCCCTTGCTTTTTTTGGGAATTATACAGAATTGTATTTTTTTGTTTAAAATTTGCTATATATTCTTGACGACAAGAGATATTTCTATGTGCAATTGTGCAATACATGATCGCATTAATTTATAGTATTGAGTCTGTGTTCTGGGTCGATGAAGGGGTGTAGTTTTATTTACCATGTTTGTATTAAAGAGCATTTAAAAAAAAAAACACGTCTCTCCTCGGTGTCATTTCTTTTAGCGTGGTGTTAATTTTGCGTTTTACGATTTAGGGTGTGAACATTGCACGTCATGATATTTTTTTAGCTTGACTGCCTCGTTACAAAAGTGTGCTCCAGTGGCAGTCGGATTGTCACATCAGGGTGCTTGTGAAATTCCATCTGGCATTAAAAATGCCGTGTTGACATTTTTGGTGTTACCGCATATATTTTAATAACCACGTTGCCTTGTGGAACGAGCGAATGTACATTGAACTTGCAACAGCTCTCGACCTGTTGCTAAAAAAAAAAATCTCGCGTAGTTGGTGGTCCTGTAAAGGGCCGTGTGGGTTTTGTGCCCCAACGCATTGTTGTACATTCCATTCCTTGTTTGTGTCACGGAAGGTGAGGGCGTGCTGGTCCTGCGTGCTCTTGAAAAGGGCTCAGTGGTCTAAAGTCTACAATGACCTTACGGCTGTACTTCAACCAGTAACCGGGTCATATCCTGGAAAATGGAAAAAAGCTACGTTCTATTTATTGTTAGAGAACATGGCACGGAATATAGCGTCCTGACAAGAGTGGGTGGATATAATTGTAGTGGCGTAATAAGCAAACATTACCGCCACGGATTTTGATATGTAGGTCTTAAGCGGGCGTGGAGAATGTCCCAGCTTCGAGTGACCTCTGTCCTGGCCGCTTTTATAGCCCTCGGTAATTGCCGCGCCCATTGCATAATGGTAAAGCTTTAGCAACGTGCTTGGAACGTTCGCACAACGCTGTTTCCGTATTGCATTCCTTCTTTGAAACTTTTGTTTGTCTTGCCTCCATCGTGAACCACGAACACAGTATAAAACCCGATTACAGGTATTTAAAAACGATGAAAATGGTAAGGTAAAGACAAGCCCCCTACACTTCCTTCTGTCCAGGTTTACAGCTGGTGTCGGTGTATCCCTAATGCTGTGCTATGTTTAGATATAAGCGTCTAAAGGCTACTACGTGCGTAATCGCTGTAATGGCGTTTAACCCGTCAACCTAGGCGCCTTCCAGATTATTGTCATAGCAGCATTTGTTCCAGCAAAGCCCACATTGGTTTCAATTTAATCGAGACATCAGCGCGGTGTGGCCTGACCCAAGCCATCGCCACCGGATGCCCCAGGATAACGTGACGACCGAAATCGAATTTCGGCAGCGCATGGCAAATGCCAAAGGTGTTTAGCGTGCGTGCGCGCGTGAAGCCCCGTGCTCTGAAAGTAAACAAGTTGGCGGGATTGGGAGAGAGATCGCAATCGGTTCGCGATGATTCTCGCGAGGTGCGGGGGGGGGCGGGCTCGAGCTAATTGCGAGTCTTTGTCGGGTGCAGCGTCACACTTTGAGCTGCACCCCCCCCCCCCCCCCCCCCATTGAAAATGGTTCAAATCGGTTGAGTTTCCACCGCCGTTCGTCACGCGTCTCCCGCAAACACCGCGAGCTATGCGTGCGTCAGAAGCCCATCGCACGCGTATTGTCCACCCCAAATGCGGGCGGCATTTTTCGGATGTTTTATCATAAACATAGGAGCGGGCGGGGGGGGGGGGGTTCTTTCTTGAAGCGCCCGGGGCGCTGCGGCTGCGTTTGAGAATCAGCTGTTGGGAGGGCGCGTTCTGGCGCTGCGCGGGTCCCCGCCACGTTCAATACCGGTCACGGAACATTCCGTCCTGTGCTGACTTAGGGGTTAAATTCCAGGCTACGATCTCGTTTGGAGGCTCTGCGCTGCGGGCGTGTGGGCGGGCGCGTGCGAGTCTGTCTGGTTGCGTGCGTGCGGCTATGCGTGTGCGTGTGTGGGTTTTTAAAATCACGGTTGCCGAGCGCAGGCCTAAAATGGGCAAAGCAGGTACAAAAAAAAACGAAGTTTCATACGTGTCTTGAATGGAGTGAGGTTATCAGACCTTGGGGGGCAGAGGAAAGACGCTGGAAGCGAATGACTAATTCGAGCAGTGCGATGGATAACAGCGGAGACGTGTGTTGCCCTGCGCTGCAGCAACTAACCCAATGACAGTGGGTGTGGTTCCGGAGATACAAAGGCGACCGTGCGTGTTTCTGGCCACACAGCACGCTGCGGTGTGCTGTGGGCCGTCCCTAACAGGTGCTCGCTAATCGCACTCACCCCCTACAACTCGCGACAAAATGGGGAGCGTGCGGGTGGTTATTGTTCTTGCGCACTGTTGCTCAATGTATGCGCACGCGGGCTGTTTGTGTGTTGTCTCTTCTCACGTGCCCGGCCAACCACTCACACACAATAATACGCCTCGGCTGTTGCTCCGGCGAATGTAGCCGTACAATACACGCGTGGCTCATAGTTTGTCCTCGTAGCCGTTTTGTGATGAGCTCGCAACTCCTCCCGATTGGTTTCCCCACCACCTCCTCCACCTCATCGAGGCTGTCAGATCTCGGGTGGTGGATGCATCCTGGCCCAGCTGCATGCGCGGCGGGGTGGACACGAAGGGGAGGAGGAGTTCACGGTTCCATCTCGTCTGGTCATGGTGGTCAACTGTAAAACCCGGCTGGAATTGTGCCGTACAAGTTACCGCGTGATTTAGCATCGGTCAAGCGTAACGCGCGATCCGATGTACATTGTTTCCTGTACTTTGTTATATCGTCACGTGATGCCATGTGGCCAAGAGATGACAGAGCAAATGGTTGAAGCCATCCGTGCGGAACTGTGTTAAATATACACGTGCGGAGCTTTCCTCTTGTCCCGAGAGATGGCAGCACATACAATTACTGAATCAATCTGCGCGGAGTTGTGTTAAATCCATCTGTGCAGAGTTTTGGTTTCACCGCCCAGAGAGATGGCAGTCGAGAAAATGCTTTTATATCCGTCTGTGCGGATCATTGTTGAATCCATCTGTGCGGAGTTTTGCTGTACTGCACCGGAGATGGCAAGTCCTGTTTGGCCTCCACTTGCAAGTGTACTGCGTTACAGTCTTATCAGCTGATTGATCTTCCAGACTTTTGTTAGCCGGCTGCAGCAGCAGCAGCAACATCAGCGGCCCATTCTCAAAGCACGCACAACTTTGGGCCGGTTTCGCTCTCCCAGGGTCGCACCAGCAGGGCGAGATTGCGTGAACAAATACCACTGGCTCGGCAATTATTATTTTTAGCAAAGAGCAACCCCCCTCCCCTCCCCTCCTCCCCTCCCCTCCTCCCCTCCCCTCCTCCCCTCCTCCCCTCCCCTCCTCCCCTCCTCCCCTCCCCTCCTCCCCTCCTCCCCTCCTCCCCTCCTCCCCTCCCCTCCTCTTAGCGTTAGGGCCTCGGTGATAAATTGCTATCTTTGTGGTTCCCTCGATAATTCGCAACGTCACATTGGGTGGATATTGTGTAATGCGCTGTGAGAGATTTGCGATAGGGCCTCAGCACCGGCGCGCAACGTGCTCTGCTCGTTAATTAGGCCAATTACCAATCCCGCCCGCTCGTGCGTGGGGGTTGTGGGGAAGAAATAAGGTGGAGGTGGGAGCAGCGTGGGATTATTCGCGCACGTGTTACAACAATTAATTATCAGCGATCAGGCAACATCCGCTCGGTACAGTGACTGAAGATCTCACACCCCCCCCACCACCACCTCCTACGATCTCCTCCGGTTATCTCAACCACCCACCCCGCCAAAGGCCCACCCCACGCCGACAATTCCTAAGCAATCCGCCCGTGTTGTGAAGACTCTGCCCACGCCGTGTCGGCCAATGGGATATGTTGACCGTATTCTCACCACGCTTGGCAGTGCGGGTTTGATGAAGCGGTGGTGGGGATGGGGTGGCGGGGGAGGGGTGCTGAACCGGTCCTAATATCACTCGCCGCTGATGTTGTGATGGCCATGGCCGGGAATTGAATTCGTGTCGCCAGATGATTCACGGCACGTGGCGCGCTGCCCAAATTTTCCAAATGCAACACGCAGACTTTCGGGACCAATATCAGTCATGATAAAGTGACAACCTTACTGCTTGGCTGTGTCGGGATCTAATTTTCCAAATTTGAAATATGCCCCGCGAATTACTCGATTGGGATGGGACATTGCAATCATCGCCTCCCCTACCAACAGACTAATGCCCGATTGCAGACCAGGTGCTGAGTCGCCTTGTGCCGCACAGGGACAGCTGGCACTGGGGGTGCCCTTTCAAATGCGTCTTGGGATGGGATGTAAATCGCTCTCGAGACGCTCTGCTCTATATATTTTAAAAAATGATGATCCCGATTAACCACTGTGCCACAATTCCACCGCATGTTAGTGTACAGAAGAACTCATTAGTGGTCCAACCATGGGTCTAAATTCAGCAGCAGCTGGCCGTGGCTGAGCTCCGGAAATATGTCCCGAGTTGTGGAGGAGAAAAAAAAAATTACAAGCAACATACGTTCATCGTGTTCGGTCATTCGTCAGTCCACCGCTGGATGAAAGCCTCATCAAGCCTTATCAGTCTGTGGCGATTGTTTTGAGTACACTTCCCCACGCTGCTCCGTCTGCGTTGGTAAAAGAGGTCAGTCAGGACCGGGTCGAATGTCACTCGTCACTGGTGCGTGCTGTGGCCGAAATTGTAGGGTTCAATGGCTCATTATGCCAACCACTGCGCCACCGCTCTCCTCATCGTACAACATACCGTGCACTAATGGAAAGCAAAATCGATGCCTAAACGCGCAATTGAATGTATTTGTTTATTGTGGTGCTGGTCCATTGGGAGCCCTAAGCAGAAATTATATTTTGGGGTGTGGGTGCGGGGGGCTTCATTTCAATTCATGAAATCCTCGTGGAATGATGGAACAGATGTGGAGAATATAGACAAACCTAGCGAGATTCAGAGAAATGTAGATAGCTATGGATTGAAGAGATGTCGATACAAAGATAGAGATGGGAGAGAGAGAGATATACATGTTACATTTTACCAGGATCTGAATTCCGAGCTGATATTCGATGCACTCTCTTATTTCGTCAATGATCCCGGGATCCCTTGAGCCACTTTGTGGGGGGGGGGGGGGGGGGGGGGGGGGT